TGACAAGCACTACATAAAGTCAAAGACAGCTTACAGGGAACACTGGAGAAAAACACAATAATGCAGACAAGTAAACAAACAACAACAATAATAATAATAATAATTTCATTCATTCATCAATAATGCAGCCAAGTAAACAAACAAATGATAATAATAGCAATAATAATAATTTAATTAACATAAATCTAAGTGTTATTGAGAACTGAGAAATGAAACGTATAAATATTTAATTGAGAAATGAAATAATAATAATAATAATAATAATAATAGTATTAATTAAACTCTCAATTTATTTGCGCGCTTACTGAAGAGACAAGAGCCACATTATATAAATAGTAAGAGGAACGAGCCAAACAAAACAAACACATACACAAAAGCAAGAAATAAAAGTAAACAATGTGTATCATTTAGATATTAATCAATAGTTCAATTAGGACAATCAAGCCAACCGCGATGCAGCGAGAATAAATAAATGTATATGCATGCATTAATCTTGTATACAATTATGAAATATAATGAAGAAAAACAGCTTCCTTTCCAAGTACGCTAACGTTCCTACAAACAATATTAGAAGCTGAAAAAACATCTGACAGAAGGGCAACACTTACTAGAAGAGCAGACTATGTATATAGAAGATTCTTTGCTACACCAAGCAGGAACTCGAAGGCTAACAGTTTCCATACAAGGAGAACAAAATTCAGAGCCAAGGTATACCTGAATAAGGAATAATACAGCAACACCAACACTATCACCATCAGCAAGGACAACACCATCTCAGATATTTAGTTTCATATGCAAACGTAGCAGCTACATCAACCAGTAAGGGTCGGAGCTGTCACACATATGGATGCAGGGCACATACATATGTATGAGATTTATAATTTCATAATAAGTGAATTGGAAAACAGAATAGCGTAACTGGAAAGTAACAAAATTAACGGGAACATTGATATTAGGGAAATGGTTTCGAAAAGTCGCTCTTTTTACAGACTTCATTCGCGGCCAAGACACTGCAAACGGAAGAACACTTATTACACGAAAGTAAAGTCTGCATTGTCTCCAACTGCAACTCTGATATGCATTGCTAATAACATAACTCCAAAGATAATGAAAATGCAGCTGATAAATTTAAAACGAAACGTGACACCATTGTAACTGCGTGTAATGTTAATCGTGTTACTCCGAAACTCTGAAATGGAAAATATTGTTCTCTGTATTGTCCGAAACTTCTTAAATATCCCATAAAATCCGAGAAGAATACATTTCATTCCGTTCTTAATTACACTAAGAAAAGCAGTTCCTTATTTGGCTCCTGTTTCATTTACCACAGAGCTTTTCAGTTGCTGTTAATTAAGGTTCTTGGGCCCAGTATTGGAAATTACACAGATTTCTTCAAGAAACTGCAAGGAATGTTCATTACGTTTATATTAAGCTTATATATTTGTGGGATATTTCACGATGTTATGAATACCTTAGGTCGAGTGGACGATTAATGACGAAAGAACCTGAAAGCATGTGAAAGGAAACGATTTTGGAAGAATTTGAAGTATAAATGTGATATTCATTAGGAGGATGTAAGGAGAACTGCGAAGGCGGAACCGGAAGTAGAGGCGCTGACTTCTATACGGCGGCGCTCGGTGTGTTAAGGTCATGAGCGTAGTCGGTATAGCGACTGTCTACGGGCTGGACGACTGAAGTGTCGGAGTTCGAGTCCCAGTAGGGTCAAGAGTTTTCTCTTCTCAACATCCTCTCCAATGTGTACCGGGGCCCATTTTCCCCGGGGGGAAATCTGCAGAGGCGTGAAGCTGACCACTCACCTCCACCTAGTACCAAGGTCAAGAGAGTTTAGATTATATATGTCCAGTCCCCCATAAGTCTGCATGGCGTAGTACTTAACTCGTTGAGCACAGGGACATCTTTACCTTTTAATGTTCTAACTATCGCGAATGTCAGTCTGAAGACATAAGATTTTAGAATAAAGATGCGGTAAAAGATTCATTTAGTAATTATTAACCCTCCATATTGTATACAATTGTAACATCTGTTTGTGAAGCGAAACCGTGTGAATGGTTCTTATTTCGTATTCGGCTGATTCTCCATTCGATTCTCCATCTGAAGCACTGCTTTTCCGGACAAGTGTATTCGCTTTTTCCGCAGCCCATTTTCACAAATTGTGGGACTGCATCTAGAAACATTCTATCTATTCATAGCAGATATCGACTTCTACTCTGTAGCAGTTAACTGCTCCGATCACAGTTGCAGCGAGGTGTAAGGTATGAAATTTCTTCTCCCTCTCAAACCCTGGGATCGTGGATTCGAATCTCACTCGAGGCATGCATGTTCACGTTTTTTTGTCTCTGTTCTGTGCAGGTAGCGGCCTTGCAACGTGCTGATCATCCGTACAAGAATCCAGCCAACCGTAAAAAAGAGTCATAATTTCAAAATAAATTCTGACAGGAAGAGACCAGAGGGCCTAAGCAGTTAAGGTAGAAGAAGAATAAAAAGAAGTAGTTAACCTGCAGCTCAAACTGTTAGGAATTAAATAACAAACATGAAGAGATTCTTAATGCAGCAAAGAATCTGTAGGTAGTGAATTTAACTATATTGTGATGTTAAGACCCGTGGCTAAGCAGCGACTCTGTAAACAATGGCCGTTGCCAGGCAAAGCACGCAACAATAGAACAACAGGGTTATGCAAACCGTTTCTAAGTAACGGATCGGTAAACACGCCTTGTTGGAAACAGTGTTTTGTACTATGTCCGTGCAAAGTCCTTATAAAGAAGTAGTTGGTTGGCGATCCAGTTCGACTTCCACCTTAGACCTGCGAGTCGTACTAGGCGATGGGAAGGAAACCCAGTGCCTGAGGGTATAACAAGGTCATTTTGTTACAGGGGGAAATAAATACGGGGACCTTGCCCTCCGGTTTGTGAGAGTTCCGAACCTGGAACAGTAAAATATGGTCATGATTCCCACATGATTCGGAGCCGAGAATGACCACGCTGCCGAGGGTCAGCAGCAATCGTAAACGCCAGATCCATCCTTTCCTCAGAGAGGATGTTACATAAGGATTAAAACTACAAGTGTTCAGTTGGAAAAAATTACTAGTCGTTGGTCTCAAGGGGCTTAGGGCCAAGACGAACTGGCGCTAAACCGCCAGTCATGAAGTAACCCTCACTCTCTGACGATCCAGTTCAACTGAGTGAAGTGACGTGAAGTAGAGCTACTTGAAGCTGGTGAGCGAGAGAGTTCATATGCCAGGGCATTTCTGTTGAAAGTCAGCCTGTGAAGAGAAGACTAGGAGGTTGGTGCGAAATGGCCGCCAGCCTGGGACCCAGTTAGTTGAGGACAGTTCTGTATGGGAGGCTATGAAGAAAAGAGTTATTTGCAAGAGTGCGGCTGTGAAGAGAAGATATTTTGTTTTCTGTAGTTACAGTGAGACTTTATAGTTCCTGCGTTAAATCCGTTGCCAGGAAACGGTTAGTGAAGACTGTAATAGACTGAGGGTACTAGTCTGTGTGTGTCAATGCTGTAGTTCCGAGTGGTGAACACAAGTGGTCACTAAATCGAATATCCAGTCACACACCCTAATTCGTGATAATATCTACATGAGATAAACATCGAATTGTGACTAAATTGATTAGGATTCTGATAAAATACATATATGTATAATGATACGTTTCAAATGTTTTACTATTGAACGAAATGTATATATAAAGCGAACAAGTCCATTGTCGGCCGTTTAAGCAAAGCTACGACCTTTTGTGAAAAAAATTCTAACCAAATTAATGCATTTAAATAAATAAATGTCAAGCATGTAGCTTTGTACGAGTGTGAAACCTGGCCTCTGGCATTAAGAGAAGAACACAGAACGAAGGGTGTTTGGTAACAGGGCTCTGAGGAAAATATTTGGTCCAAAAAGGGATGAAATATTAGGAGGTTGGAGAAACTGTGTAATGAGGAGGTTCGTAACTTGTACTATTCCCCAAATACGATTAGAATGATCAATTCAATAGGATGCGATAGGTAAGGCATGTAGCACACATCAAACAGAAAACGAATGCATATACGATTTTGGTGGAATGGCCAGAAAGAAAGGAACTACTAGGAAAACATTGATGTAGGTGAGATAATAATATTAAAAATGGATTTTAGATAAATAGGGTGGGGTGGTATGAAATAAAGTCATCTGGTTCAGGAAAGGGACCAGTGGAGAGCTCTTGTAAATATGGTAACAAATGTTCGGGTTCCATAAAATGTTGGGAAGTTCTTGAGTAGTTGAGAGACTGATGGCTTCTCAAGAATGGCTCAGGTCTGCGGAGTTAGTTAGTTAAGTAAATGTCAAGAATAAATGAAGTTATTTTCGTTCCACGTAAACTCATAGATCACGGCATGGCGTACTTTAAAGTTTTTACTAAAGTTTGAAGCATGAACGTTGGGATCGCAGCAGCAAGGCACACATGTATAATGAATCATGTTCACTCAGTTTATAACGTACCACAGTTTAACTCACAGCAGTTTAATAACAACCTTCGTACCGCCATTTAACGGAGCCGAGCTTTTCCTGAAAACCTAAATGTCAGTCCCACAGCTGGTTAAATATTTCCACCAGTTTTATGTAGCATGTAGGTTCAATATTCCGTTCCAATGAGTCCACACATGGTACCTATTTTAAGCTATATGAATCTAGTCCACATCGTCACATATCTCTAAGATTCACTTTAATATTACCCTCGTATCTATATATGCATCTCCCAACTGTCACTTCCCTTCAAGATTTTCCTATAAGACTTTCGTATTCCTGTGTCGTAGTTGCTGTGCGTGATAAAAACGACGCCCATCCAGTGTCATCACTGTGCCCAGACCCTCTGTTCAAATACATATCAGAATGATTATGCAGAGTAGCTAAGAATGGTAGCTTCGAAAATATTGAATATAATTTCGCAGACATTTGGCAAGGAATGTTTGCCAGGGTCTGAAGTTGAACTGGGGTCTCACAATCTCCCAAAGTAAAGAAACGGCAGGAACACATCAAAGAATTTCTACGTTGGGCCTCAGACTAGGGCCTAAGAATGAAAACGTTATGTGATTGTGAATCGAATTCAACTGGCTGATGTTAAGATCCATGTTTTGAATACGGTGATGAACATTCGAGTTTCATGACGAAATTCTTGAGAAGTTTCTCTAGAAGCACTGAGTCCCACGCGGCTGCGTAGCATATAGAGTTCAGTACGTGTATTGGGTATGCACCGGCATGCAACGTGAGAGATGGAATTCCATTTCATTTTAATCAGGAATGAGGTAATAACCGAGTGTTACAATTCCTGCTTGCGGAAATTTATTCTATATTCCTCTTGACCATCGGTTAAATCCAAAGATTTCCAAACATGTCACTCTATTTCCTTCATGTTATATGGTCGAAAAGAATAATTACCAAACTCTGCCTCTCTTGCTGGTTCATGGATTCTGAGAGTAACTTTTTTTTTTTCGATTACTCCTCGAAGTTTCTAATGAAAATTCAACCTCTTACATGATCCTGGCTCTTATTTTAAAGCAGTACTTCCGTTTAATTTGAACCAACTCTCTAGACTTTGTAGTAATTTATTTTAGGTCGTTCTAGAATCATTTTCCTTATTATTCTTGGAATCTATTTCATCCATTTTCCCACTGAAACTAGTTTTATTCTTTTACCCCCGTTTCTCGTCTTTTATCTTTTCTCAGGTTCTTGCTAGTTCCTCAGACTCGTTTGTCACTGTCTGCTGCGCCGCTGTACGGGCGCGAGCGTGTAGAGAAGGGAACTCCGGCCGCAGAATGCCTCTCAGGAGGAATCCAGATCTGCAGCTGACATAAGACAAGTTCAGAAGAGAACTTAGCCTTCCAATGCTTCAACCAATATGTTAGGAAAAGCAGTATGCATAAATTAATATTTATATGATTTAGTGATCCGCTTGTGTACACAATATTCAGTGTAGTTTCTGATATTATTAAGCATTCATCTCAGAATCTCAAAAGTTTCACACTATCGACACGTTAGAAACCACCGCCGAAAATGTTCCGTACGTAATTTGGTCGCAGTTACATATATACATACAGTATATCACATGCATAAATAGGACGTTTCGTTAGATACGAGTATCTCTAGAAAACTGAACGTACAGTAGACGTTTCGCGCGGTCACTACATATTATGTTATGTAATTTAATTTGAAAGTTATATATTTTTAATTTTGTGTTACAATACTGCTACCATCTATGTAAGAAGTGAAAATAATATTGCCCCAACGCCATAATATCCTAAGTACGCTATAATGTTAGTCTGTTACTGAGGCATGAAATAAAAATAATACAAAGTCTATCGAACTCTAGAGCCATAAAAAATTTATCAATTGCTTTAAAATTTATTAGGGACAGGTTCAATGATGGGTGACTTAAGTTATCGACCAGTGAGGGGTTTTTGTGAACACAGCAATGAACTGTCTGGTTGAATATAAGGAAGGAAATTTTGATATCGGCTTACGGAGGACTCCGATCCATGGTTTTTGTTATTTAGCTACATTCAGAGATTCCACGATGGTTTATTTCGGACTCTGGATGTGGAAGAGGTAACACAGTACAATTCTATGGAGGATAATTTATTTTGAACATCCGTATACTTTAATATGATGAAAAATGAAGAACCCGTAAGAACAACCACATTAAATTCGATATGGTAGCATATATCCAACATTAATACCATATTTATGGTAAATTTTACTCGAAAACATCACTATGATTTTGATACAAAATTTCGAGGATGTAAATTATAGAAATGGAAAACACGGTAAGCGATCAAGTCCAGGAGTATCCAAATTTGGGTAGTTCCTAATGACAATAAACTTTCTTACTGGTCCTCCTTTGTAGCTGCATTACCTTAACGTTTATGAGACACCACATTAAAAACATTACGAAATTATCAGTCTCATAATTGCTCAATTTATGGACCGGCCTTCACGATTATAAACGAAACACGCCTCTGTGTCCTTAAAACGAATACAAGATCTAAGTTAGACTACGAAGCTGTCTTCTCTTGAGTTCTATGTAAATTGATCCGCTTGGTTACTTTCGTATTTCTGAAAAGGCTTAATATGCTTACACATTTTCTTCACAATAAAAACGCCACACAACAATGCCATCTTAACAAATTCAGTTCTACGAACGAGACACCCCGTTAAGAATAGCCCTCAGCTTCTGTGGTAGGGTACCACATTTATTGACGCATGAATTCAAATAAACCTTCGTCCCAACTCATTATAGTATAACAATTATTATTTTGCTGGACATTATCCACAATCTTGTCTATTCTAAAAAACAGTCTAGTTTCTATTAAAAAACACAACGTTTCGAGAACTGAAATCTGTCCCCGTCTTCAGGTAAAACCTACTCAGTTGGGTCCAATAGACAGAGCTAGCCCCTATCTCCGGACAACTATGCACAATTTCCGAAGGGATTCATAAAAGAAGCACAACTTCCCTTCGGAAATTGTGCATAGTTGTCCGGAGATAGGGGCTAGCTCTGTCTATTGGACCCAACTGAGTACGTTTTACCTGAAGACGGGGACAGATTTCAGTTCTCGAAACGTTGTGTTTTTTAATAGAAACTAGACTGTTTTTTAGAATAGACAAGATTGTGGATAATGTCCAGCAAAATAATAATTGTAACAATTTACCATCATCACAAACTGTTAGATCTTATCATTATAGTGTAGATCAACAATTGTGTGTTTCAACTGTGGAAGTTTTAAACTCGCACTACAATGGAGAGACATAAGATGATTATGGCTCTTACAGTAAACTCTGCAAGAAAAAGGTAACAATTCTAAATATACACACGCACCGTAATAATTCTTTCGTAACGGGATTTCTCCTGTTTTCAGATGACTCGTTCCTTAAGTTTAATGCCTCGAAAACCGTAAGGAGTTATGAAAATACTAAACTGGCCATGACATCTGCTCGATCTTGAAACAACGACAGCAAGCCTGGGCAGTGCTTATTCAATTCGCTAACCCCTTCGGCTTGTCCGTCCGTACGTCAGTGACGTTGAAATGATTCGACAAAGCCGAATGGATCTTCATAACATTCGAAAGCTATCAGGGTTAATAAAATATGTCGACATACTCAGCCGATCATAGTGGCCGTGCAGTCTAAGGCATGGAAGTGTCTTCGTCCGCTCAAACATTGGAATAGTGGGTTCGAATCCCATTTGAGGCATGGATGTCTTTTTGTGTTTATTCTGCGTTTGTGGAGTCCTGTGTGGAGGTAGAAGTTTTGTTACTGGCTGATCCCCCGGTCGAGGTGTCC